CCCTGACCCCCCGTGGCCTGGGCTGCAGCCCCGTGCACCTGTGTTATCGGAGCGGGGCTGGGCCGCAGCCCGCAACCCATCCCAAACCGGTCGGCTTTATCATGCTAATGGTGTCCTGTGTCAGTAGGCTTGCCGGTGAGGAGTCATCCTCTTGGGAGAGCTGCGCTGAGTGACTTGGGAGGGGATGACAGTAGTAGGAGGCAGTCCTTAATTATAGGCACTTCTGTTCCAGATGTTTGAAAGTGATGTAGCTACTCTGAAAATAGGCACGGGTTAAAAAGCTGTCATACTCTCTCAGACACATGCTGTCCCACTTCTGAGTCCGCATCCTTGCCATTTGCTTGTCCAGGGATGGCCTTACACCACATGTTTCTCACCCCATTGAGAGATGACAGCAGCTGAGTTTTGTACTTCCCAACTCGTGATGTTTTCAGTGCACATACTGAAAGAGCTCCTGCAGTATTAAAGTGCAAAATGTCCTTTTTATTTTTTTATTATTATTTTTTTTTAATTGAAACTCAAGGACAGTTACTTTGCATTTGAAAAAAACCCACACGAAAACACAAAAACAAAAAAGAGGAGGGATAGTTATATTAACCTACTTGGGTAACAGAGTTATTGTAACAGTATCTTCCCAGTGTGAGATTCAGAGATTTGCTGACAGGAATTGAGGGGTTTACTACAAATGATTTACAGCAAGAACCATAGACCCAGTTCTTGGCATCCTCTGCAACTTTCACAAGATGCATTCACGTCTAGTGGAATATGAGTTTGATTTTGTATTGGTAAGGAATAAATATAACTGGAAGACTTCATTAAAATTTATCTTCCTGAAGAAAACAGCACTGCAGCTGCGAGATGATAGAGTGGTGCTTTTTGAGATTGTCAGCACTGTAGGTTTTTATGAGATTGTTTTTAAATCAATGGAAAATAGTCACTTGCTTAAAGGTGCAGAGCTCAAGAAACTCGTTCAAATGGGAAGGAGTGAATCATATTGCCTGTCTGGGCTGTCTTTGGGAACAGCATGTAGGTCAGTAAAAATCTCTGACCTGGAAGTTAGAATGGGACCATATCCTTTATATGTAGTGCAAATACTAGGTTTGTATCAGAAAGTGTTTCAAAATAGCTGCATTCCTTGGGGAGGGGAGAGGGGATATTTTTACATTTTATTTTGGGAAGAGTGGAAAAGGCAAAGCATTCCTTGTTGGTAGAAGAGCTCTTCAACTTTTCCTGTATATGGAAATGCACTGCTACTGAATGTTGGCATGGACTAAAGCAAGATCGTGGAAAAAGCAATTTGCAGTTGTGATTTGCTTATATTAACACATGGAAACTTAAACCATGGCTGTCCAAGGTCAAAGGTAACTTGGGATTATGTCAGTGTTTTCACATTTATCAAAAGTCATTATTGTGCTGAGGACTGCACATATTTAATATCTTCATTTGATTGGTAGAATATGATTATTAGAAGAAGCATGAAAGTCATGCTGGTTAAAATTATGAACTGGACTTAAAGCTGATATAGTTAAAAGTTATATTTGAAATATGTTTGAGATGTAACCACAAGTTGTATTGCTTTAAAATAGCAATGCTTGATTTCTTAAAACTATTGAAAGGAGAAAAGAGGAGATGAAAAAGTCTCTCCTACTGCTTGCACTGGTGAAGTATTGTGTCAGCTTTGCTCCAAGATTCAGCACTTTCAACATATTTGTTAAACTAGTGGTGTGACAGTTCTTGCTAAGCTCTGCAAGAAGGTACTCATCTTTCATTCACTCCTGAGTTTCTGTTGGACAGCCATTCATTTCCTGTTTACTTCCAAATTCCTACCTTGTCCTGAGGTCTCCACCCTCTGCTAACATGGCCATACTTGGGTATGTTGTAATTTCAGGCTATAATGGGTGTGGATGTCTTGGAATGACATCACAGAGGTAGTTCTTTTTAGATGTATATATGGGGGTGAAAAGACTTTGATCCATCCACCCAGGATAAATTGCTATGAAAATTAGTGGAATATATGGAAGGAACTGACAGATCCAAGTTGTATATATTGAACTATGCAAATTTTAATGCTCACAGATGATCCTGAGTTTTTAAGATATTATCTTCCATCCATTTATGCTGCCTTTTATTAATACAGATCATAAAATGCAATATATTTTAAACAACTTTGTAATGATGGGTTGGTGCATCACCAGTTGCAGATGTTCAGTGCTGTCTTTATTAGAAGTCATAAATTGAAGAAAAAAACTAGGTGTCTAGCTTTTTGAAAACAAATTAATATACTTTACAAGCTAGAATTATTAAGCTGGTTAGTGTTTGAATGTCTTGGGGACAAAAACCTAGCTATAAAATAGTTAAGTGCTAGGATTAGTTTGAAGAAATTAGTAATTAGTTGGTTACTAATCTTAATTTTTCCCTAGGATACATATAAATGGCTTTATCAAATAACACATCATCAGATTACAGTTACACATCGATGTTCTCAACACACCAATTTAACCAGCTCACTAAGATACCCCCTATTTTCTTTTTTCAAGTATTCTGTCTCCATAGTAAAACTCTTAGACTTGTTAGGTTTTTTAGGAGTCTGCTCCCCTGCCTGGGAGGATGCCCCAAGAAGCCCATGTCTGTGGCTTTTAGGGCTATTGCAATTAGCTGGAGTAAGCAAGGCAGTTAAAATTCATCCTTCTGAAGATGTTGGGGTGTGTGGCAAAGGCAGCTCTTCAACAGCCTTACTTACCGAGTAAGTTGTCATCTTCTGGAAGTCAGGGGTAGTACTGGACTGAAACAACCTTGGTAAACATTGTAGGCTGATTTTGTTTTAATTAGTACCTTATTTTCAAGTGTTTGTTTGTTTTTTGGGTTGGTTTTTTTTTTTTTTAAAAAAAAGGCAGAAAACCCTAGAAAGCAAAAGAGTTAATTTCAGTCTTTAAAGAACAGATTTTTTTTTTTATTTACTTAACAGTAAATTTGGGAAAATGTTTAGTGCTGTTATGGCTGAGCTTTATGAGATTTTTTTTTTTTCCAATTTTACTCCTTTCAGCTTTTTCAATTTTTACAACATAGGAATATCTTTAACTCGGAATGTCTCTGCATCAGTTTTTACTAGAGCCAATCACTTGCCATGCCTGGAACAGAGACCGGACCCGTAAGTAACGTGGTAGTTTTCATTTTAATTTTTTTCTTTGTTGTTTGCTACTTTCTCTTTGTTGTCAGTTAGTGATCTTGTGATGTGCTGGATCACCTTTAGGAAAGATGTGGTCAAATACATAGTCCTACATGTTAAACGTTTCACTTATGGTCCAAAAAACATCTTATAAATCTGAACTTTTCTAAATCTATAACTGGATTTCTGGCATATGAGCAGATCTAGTCTTACTGGTGTTTCAGAAAGCTTTGCCTCTTGGTCTGCACCTCATCAGGATGGCCTGGCCCTTACCCTCTTTGAGCCTCTATTCCCAGACCCCAAACCAGCCCTTTCTTTTAATTGCCTAGTTTTCTAATATCATGTGGAGTGTTATGTCCCAAATCTACTGTCTTTCTGTGCAGACCATGGTATAACCATCATTATTTGAGATTATCCAGGGATGTTGACCCTTTGTTTACAAAACCCATGTAACGCTCTGAAATTCAAAGACCCAGATTTTAGTTTGGAATGTCTTTCCAAGTGAAGCATTTAGTATTTAAAAGCCTTCTGTACCATTGTTTTATTTCTTCTTCAAGAGATTGCCATTAGCCCTAATAATCACGAAGTCCACATCTACAAGAAGAGTGGGAACCAGTGGGTAAAGGCCCATGAGCTAAAGGAACACAATGGACACATCACAGGTAAGAGGAGGTTGTGCTGTGCCAGACATTCGATTTGCCTGCCCCCTCCTTCCCCCAGCTGGGAATTTGACCAGAAATTTGCAAGTGCTGAGTAAACAGATCTTTTCATAGGTTGGCATTCCCACTTTACAGAGAGCTTCGCATCATTTTTCTGGACTGCATGCAATGAATGTTTGAAGGAAAAGCCCTATTTCATTCCCAGGAATTTCAGTAGAGTAACTGAGCCTTTCTTTCTTATCTGTTGCTTATTTTTCATCCGCAACAACATCACAAGGATTAATTTTCAGTCTACTGAAGTAATCTGGTTGTGTCACAAACTCTCCTGGTGATACATGCTTCTCCCATTCCAGTGCTAGTATTAAAATTCCATTAAGTATACAGCTGCTGCCTTGGTTTGTTGTTTCCAACAGCAATAAATAGCCTTTTCTAAGGACTGTATAAACACTTGAAGTGGTCAGTCCTGGACTTGTGACAGACCATCAGTGAGCAAATTTTACTGTGGGCCCAGAGTATCTGTAGCTGCACAGTGAAAATGTTAGAAGAGCTGCCATGATGAGTCACAAGGTGTTATTTTAAAAACGTGAGTGTCCTGCTCTAGTCTCCTGTATTACTTTTTCTTTTCATGGTGATATTTTTATAAGGGCTTTCTTCTCTAAGAAAATGAAAATAATGAATACATGCAGTTGCTCAAAACAGCAATATCCTTTATTCTGTTGTTAACTCACTAATGGGCAGAAGTATCTGCCCAAGAGTGTTTTGCGGGAACTTTATCCAGTTGATCTGATTCTTGCTGTCAAAGAGCACAACTGTCTGTACTGTTTTGTGAAGAGTCACCTGGGCTGAGTTTACAAATTATGTGCTGTTCCCCAAAGATGTTTCTCTGCATTTTTCTTGTACCTGTTAGTTTTGGAAGCCAAATATTCATGGCTTGGGAAAAGAGCTCTCCCTGCTTGCCTGCATAGCGTGTACCTTTGGAATACTAAATGCTGTGGTTGTTGTGAAGAGTAGCCTTAAACTGTGGTTAGACACAGGAGATAGACTGATCAAACCACTTGCTGCCTCTGACAGGAGTGATTCAACTGCTGCCACTTCAGCTGCTGATCACAAGGGACAAGATCCCTTGCCTTCTGTGTCTTGATTCAGAGGTTTGTGGTGAGCTGCTTACAGGAAGAGCATTATTCACTCTTTTTGCTGGCTTAGTGTTCTGCTAAGCTAAAAAGCTGAATTTGCCGTGGGTCAGATGTGCAAGGGAGGTGGTGGGAGAGAGAAGTAGAGAGAGGCAGGATGGCCCCCCTTTCAAAGGCAGCACTAAATTGACTCCTGTAACCATGGTTTCAGACTACTAACTTCTTCAAAATTGAGCTTTTAAAGCATAAGCCTCGCTTTAAGTGGACCATATATGAATCCTATATTAAAATTAGTACAAATTCTTTCCTTCTATCCTTTTTTCAGTTTGTGTGCTTAAGGAATGTTTTTACTACAGAGCACAGTATGGAAAACTATTGAAATACAATTTTGTGCCAGGAGAGTTAAGGATTGCACTCTGCATCCCAACAAAGGCTGCTAAAGTAAAAGATGAAAAATGGGACTTCCCAGTTGAGAACGTCCTTCATGGCACTGGAAGGGAAAAACAGCAATCACAGGCTTACAGTTTTATTCTTTGAACGTATCATGTTTGCTTGGTAAACATTTCTTTCTCATAGCACAGCATAAAGAGGCATAGAAAAAAATGTTAGAATTGTATCAGTATATAAAGATTGATACTGTCTGACACAAAAAACCCACTATCTAAATGTCTAGATCGTCACTGTGGTCTGGCAGTAGCGTCAGAGGTTTGTGCATAGCTCTGGAACTGCTGGGTTTCAGCTGTTCAATGGGTCTCTGGCTGAAGTCGGTGGTTTGAAGCCTGGGGAGGGACGGGCCTCATCCAGCCTGCAGAGCTCCACCTGCTGTCCAGCCGGCAGAGCGGGCTTCCTCAGCAGGCAGATTGCTGCTGGAATCTGTAACATTGGGATCTGCAGTTTGATGAAAGCTAGAGCAACAGACTGATATCTCTTAAGAGTTGAAAATGGTGCCTGGAGATTAAGCGAAGAGGGGAACGCTAACGTAGCAGTGATAACTGTGCTAGAAGGCAGTGAGGTTGTCTGTGTTTTGGCTCACTGCAAAGCAAGCAGAATCAATCATGGAATCATAGAATATGCTGAGGTGTGGGAAGTTTATTAAGGTGAACCCTTAACTTGCAGGGATTGACTGGGCTCCTAAAAGCGACCGCATCGTGACGTGTGGCGCAGACCGCAACGCCTACGTCTGGAGCCAGAAGGACGGTGTCTGGAAACCAACCCTGGTCATCCTGAGGATTAATCGTGCAGCCACCTTTGTGAAATGGTCTCCCCTGGAGAACAAATTTGCTGTGGGAAGTGGAGCTCGGCTTATATCTGTGTGCTACTTTGAATCTGAAAATGACTGGTGAGCTGTTTAATTTGTACCTTTAAGGTCTGCATGAGAAAGCTAAAGCCTGGGGTTTAATGTTGGTAACTAGGTTGCTATTTTACTAATTCCTAAAATCTTCAGGAAATGTAGAGGGATAGGCCTCATCTGTTCTTTCAGGGACTTTTTACATCTTGGGGAGAAGGTTCCCTTGTTTGTTTCTTTATTTTGGTGTAGCACCTAAAGGCCTTGGACTTAGCCTGTGTGCAGGTTGCCATATATGTGTTCCTGCTGACTGCCATAAACATGTTGCTTTACTAAAAGTGCAAGAATTTCTACAGAGTAAAAATTCCTTTATCACAACTGTATGATTGGAAAAAGAGATGTTTCCTACACACACACCACCTTTCATGATGAATTAAGAAACCTTCACTTGAGTCTTTCCTTGGTATAAGTTATTTTGGGCCTTTTCTTGTCACTGAAGAGTTCAAGTCTGTCACTTCTCTCCAGGGTGGTCTATCAAAAGATTTTCAAGCTTCTTGTCTACCTCTTCTCTATTCTGTCATGTATTCTTGTCACAGTTGATAGACTTTAGCCAGGACTATGACAAATATTTCCCCCATTAACATATTTTTTTTCTCCTAGACATCTAATCTTAGTATTTCCGATTTAGATCGACCTGCATTTGTAGCTGTATGTATTGGAGCTACATTGACCATGTCATCCATGGATGAGATCAGTAGTTTATCTATTGTTTTGGGTTGGATAAACATGCATCAAAACACAGGTGTCTGTGCCTGCCCCTTCTGTGTGCACTCTTCCAGATGGGGATGGTAAACAAGGAGACTATCTGCAAAATACTTATAAAACTTGGGAATTTCATGCTTTCCAACATGCTCAGTTATTAACATTCTGTCTGCAGAAGAATCAAAATCCCATATGTTGGAGACAATTTCATGCGATCTTTAAAACTGCTTGTGCCTGATGGAAGTAAATTCAAAGAAAAAAGCTCCATCACCCCAAAGGCCATCAAGTAAATAACAGATTTCATTACTATTGTGTAAATAGATCAAACAAACTAAATCTGCTGAGACATATTTAGGCTAATACTGATGCATTCAACATCGGGGCCACTTTACACTGTGCTTCAAATAATTGAGATATAGACATTAATCATATTGACAGTTGGTTACTGTGTAATTAAACAGTAGGAAGTCGATAGGCAAGAGAAATTGCTTAAAAACTCAATTGAAGGGGCTGGAGAAGAAGAGTATTTAGTAATCTAAGAAAATAGTACTTCTTAGCACAATATCACTGCAAAGCTGAGCTCTTGTTCACCAGGCAATTATCCTGCAAAATTCACATTAAGGAGTTCAGTCCAATGCAATATAAAAATCAGTAAGAAGGGGAAAATATTCAGGTTAAGAGATCTATATTTAACCTGAATTTGTTTATAATATTTAGAATTTTAATTAATATAACCAGTTAGAGTTCATAGATTGTACAAGCAAATATGAAAGATTTGGGCACAATGTGAGTTTGTTGCAAAGCTGAAGTGTTTAGTCACTGGTAAGGGGTGATCTTTTTGAGGAGTATTTAAAGGGTTTGGGGGGAGTCTGGTAAAATTTTTTTCAGTGATTTTTTTTTTTTTTCCCCCTTTTTCATGTAGGTGGGTGAGTAAACACATTAAAAAGCCCATTCGTTCCACTGTCCTTAGCCTGGACTGGCACCCCAACAATGTTTTGCTGGCTGCTGGATCCTGTGACTTCAAGTGCAGGTGAGAGAAAATAAAGTATCTCTAAATCAGTTTGGATTACTGGGTCAAGTTAGTCAGTACCATGAGCATCTTGATCATGCATTTGCTATCAGAATAGAAGGTGGCTTATTGCATACTGTCATTGGTACCAAAATAAAATATCCAGCTTAAGAGACTTCAGTGCTGCTGCAGCCTTTGGACTGCCAACACTGATCTGTTGAGGGACACCCCTGAGTTTGATGAAGTGGTGGGTGACTTTAGTAGCAGTACACAGAAGAGTACTACTTTGCCTGCACTGAGATGTAGTTAGGCTGAAATTAGACTAGGAGGTGCTGTCTTGTAGAACACCAACACCTCTAGTTGGAGTTTGAAAAGCAACATCCTAATGGTTTAGTTCCAAAATTCAGAGCCACTTCCAAAGGTGGTATCTCATTTGTCTCTTCTTCTTTGCCTGTGCCAGACTTGATGTTCTTGCAGCCCTGTGGTGAGCAGGGTCAAGGAATTGATCCACCTGAAACTCAGTGCAATAAAACACTTTTTTTAAGTGTGTGGGTTTTTTTTTTAAAAAAAAGAAGGATGGTAAAAACAGATTGGCATGTGAGTTGGATGGTGTGAACTGGTTGTGAAATTACAGCATGAGGGATGGGTCCTTCAGGTTGCTCTATGCTGAGTGATCAGGGTCATTGCAATGAAGTCTGCATGGGGAACTGCAGTGTGCTTGACCTTAGTTCATATTTTACTTAATCACTTATACCTTGAATAATAATGAAAGCTCCTTTGCTTCCATTCTTTATGTAATAGGGTAATTTTTAAGCTTCTAAGTGTGTACTAAAAATGGCAAAGAAGGAGTGGGAGGGGGGGGATGGAACCAACAATTACATTCCTTATTTCAGAATTAAATCTAGGCATCTAAATTCAATCCTTTGATACCTTTTTATGCAAGGAGGGATGTTAAATGAAAGCTGGAAAGAGGAGAGTTGTCTCTTTTCTGCCTTACCTCCCTTTTTAATTAGATAAGCTATACATGCTCACTTTCTTTCACCAAAAAATGTGTAAAACATTCTCATTCATCTTCCAGAACCAGCTGCTTTTCACACGTGGACACTTTTCCTATATGTTCACAAAGCATCTCAGGACTCTGACATTAGGTCAGCTGATAAATCTCTATCTCTTACTTGGGACTTCAGCTACAGGCTTTGTCTGGTGTTTGCCATGTACATTGCATCCCTGATTATCTTCCCTTTCCTGTTTTGGCTGGGAAGTTAGATGTGAATTCTTTTCTGTTCAGTATAGGTTTGGAGTTTTATTTGGATTTTTTTGTATGTTTGTTTTGTTTAGTCTTTTCCATCAGAAAACTCATTCTGTCCTTTACTTTCCTGCTCCTAAAATGGGGTGTATTTTGGAAAAAAAAACCAAATCAATTAGATCTTGGTTTACAGCATTTAGGAAACTTTCTGCTCTTGCTTAAACACTTTACTTCAGGATGAATCATTTAATAATTTTGCTGCTTTTATCATAGAAACATTAAAGGAAGAAAGGAAAAATAGTGGAGATTGGTACTGAGTTTATGTCTCTGTTTCTTACTCAAAACCATGATTATCTTTGGTAAATGATGCATACACATCTCTAGAATTCCAGTTCTAGGGCATGTTCAGTCACATATTCAAGGTGATAAAAATACCTGGGCCTGAAGTAAGCATCTGTTCTGGTGGTTCTGAAGACAATCATGAAATGGATCTGCCAGAGCCAATGCCAACTAATAAGCAGCCAAGTGGGAGACATTTTGGAAGAAGAATGGAGTGCAGAAGAGGCTCCCAAGTTCCTAGGTGTTCATTCATTCAGCAGAGGTTGTTTGGTGGCTGGCTGAGATGAGCTCCTCTTACATTTTTATTTAAAAAACCCCACATATATAGCCAACAGCCCTGCATAGGTGTGAATTTTGTATTCTGGCTGGAAAAATGTTAATGTGGGAATGAGCAGAATTTCCTAATATTATTTGAAGGCTAGGGCTTTCAAGCTGAGATGGTTTTAAAAGAGAAGGAGACTTTAGTAAGGGAGAAGACTTTTTTTTATTTTGACTTACAGTTATCTTCAAGGTCTTCCATTACTTAGGAATGATTTTTCTGCCTTGTGTCAAAGGCTGTTGCTTTAAACATCTTGTCCTATTTCCATACATTAAGAGAACTGTCCTTTTAGATGTCTCTATAAGATTAAGTTTGGTGAAGGATTATCATTAGGTTACATTTCAACTGATAGAGCTGAATATAAATTCAGATTTAATTCTCTGAAAATCTGTACCTAATAGAGCTGCAGTTAAACCCTTCTTGTTCCAAATGATCAGCTTTATTTGAGTAAGCTGAATATAGGTACCTTTTGAAGTGCATCCCCCAGATGTGTAGAAGATTTAAAACATGGGGAGGGGGGAAGCAATGTTTCCTTCCACTCTCTATAGAAGAATTCCTTTGCAACCAGGAATACTTGATAATGGTTTTCCTTTTCTACTGAAACATTTCTCTGGTAGTAGTATGGTGTAGCTCACTTGCTCCTCCTGTTCCATGGACTCTTAATCCTATGTTTGTGACGTCCCAGTGACTTCCATGGTAACAGTCAAGAACACCATATTGTGGCACGTCTGAATCATGCAGAAGGAATTTGATGAAAGGGGGAGGCTTTCTATTTAAACATATCTTGAAAATTGTAGTGCTAGAGGAAGAAAAAACCCAGCCTGTTAAAACAGTGTGGTATTTCAGGTTTTCAGTAATGAGCCAAAATAAGGTGGCTCAAAGCTCCTTTGGTGGCATTTGAACATTGGTTTTCTTGCCTTGAAATCCTGCTAAAAAAGTCAATGTTCTTAAAAAGTGGGTAATTTTGTAGGTGTTTGTATTAGCTTCTAATTATACGGTGCAATTTGTGCAGTCTTTTTCCTAACTGAACAGTTGCCTCTGAGAGTTGTTAGCACTGCAAAAGGATGAAAGGGAAATCTTAGCCCAGTGGAAAATGCAATGACAATGTATGGTTTTATGTCATCTTTAGGAAATAATAGGAAAGAGTTGCAAGAACAGCATTTATGAGAAAGTTCTGGGCATTCCCCTTTGTACCATTGCATTCCCTCTGTGTACTGACACTTCCCAGCCACTCGTGGCTTGTGGTTTAAAGATACTATGGTATTTTATTTTGGTAGAATTAAAGCATCTTTTTGCTTCTCGTGTGAAATGTCCCCCAGCTCCCTGGAGGTTTTTGTTCATGTCTTTGTTCATACTGAAATCTTTTATTTGCAGGGTGTTTTCTGCTTACATTAAGGAAGTGGATGAAAAACCAGCCAGTACACCATGGGGCTCCAAAATGCCTTTTGGGCAGCTGATGTCAGAATTTGGGGGTGCTGGAAGTGGAGGATGGGTGCACAGTGTCAGTTTTTCTGCCAGTGGCAACCGCCTGGCCTGGGTCAGTCACGACAGTACAGTGTCAGTTGCTGATGCTTCAAAGAATATGATGTAAGTATGTTCCTTCTGTCAGTTCTTGGCTGTTTGACACTAGAAGGAAGCAGTGTGTGGAATGTTGTGCTTGCAGCAGCAAGAGGAAAGCTCTTCACTGCTGTTTTGACCATTTTGCTGTAGGTCCCAGGAGGCTCTTTGAGACCTATATAAATAAGACAGATTCTTTGAATTTTAGATGATATAAATTACATTTCTTATAGGAATTCTTATAAAAGGGTACATTCTTTCACTTTGAGTGGGGAGGTGGAGCATTTGAAAAAGAAGTCTTCCACTCTTGTGACTGGGGAAACAATATTTCTGTGTAATGGATCCAAGAGACCTGCAGAAATATGTTCACTCCAGACCTGCTGAGGCTCTTTCCCCACACAGAATCTGCAAACAAGTTGTTCATTTCATGATATGTTAACTCAATCACTGTGCTTCAGACCCTACTGCTACAGGGTTCCACACCTTCCAATCCAGCAAGGGTTTTAAAAACAATTCCTCCTCCTGCTCTTCATTTGAACTGAATAACTTTTCAGTGTTCATGGCTTTCTAACCAAGAAGGAAGATCATTCCCAGATGTTTTGACAGCTGAGATCTCTGGTGGATCATCCAGGTGTTGCTGTGCTTCACTTTAATTATGGTTCTGAAGGTTACAGCTGTCTGGCTGGGGGTATCATGAAGTGTTAGAGAATTCTTTTCTCACTTGTTACAAAATCACAGAACTTGACTTAATTTGGTTTTTCGCCTTGAAAAGATGATGCCAAGTACTAAAACTTCCAGGTGTTTTTTATAAGCAAATTAAATTAGTAGCTTCATCAATTCAAACCTCTTTTGGTGGTATCCTCTTAAAACTCTTTCCACTGTTTACAGACAACACTAGATAACTTCAGCCTTTCACCTGGAATACTTGAGGTTTGTTTTAGCTCTTCCAGGACACTTCCATTGGGTTAAAGCTTTTTATTACAAATTACAACCTTCTGGTGTTGCCTCAGGACAACTGAGCTACACTGATTTCTTTGCTAATCATCCTTGTGTGGGAATGGTCTCTATGTTTTGTTGCAGCCAAAGCTGAGAGGTTCCAATGAAGCCCTCTAACAAATGTTCTTGTGTTCAGGGTTTCGCAGCTGAAAACAGAGTTCCTCCCACTCCTGAGCGTGTCGTTTGTCTCCGAGAACAGTGTGGTGGCAGCTGTAAGTGTCTATTATTTTCTCCTTGTAGAGTGTTTTAGTGTTTTGGAAAGGCAGAAACATGATGCATTGTGAAGTTAAGTCACAAGCAACCTCTTCCGGAGCGGCTGCCTTTGCCTTTCTGCCGTTAGCGGCAGCAGGATAAAGACATGGTGGTTGTGCTCTGTTTCTTGACATGCTTTCCTGACCTCTGGTTGCAGGGCCACGACTGCTGCCCCATGCTCTTTAACTGTGATGACCGTGGCTTGCTGACCTTTGTTTCCAAACTAGACATTCCAAAACAGAGCATCCAGCGCAACATTTCCGCCATGGAGCGCTTCCGGAACATGGATAAAAGAGCCACTACAGAAGATCGTAACACTACCCTGGAGACACTGCACCAAAACAGTATAACGTGAGTGTCTTGGCCACCAGGAGGAGGGGAAGGAACTCTCTCCACATCCCTTTGGTTTCCCAGGTTGGACTGCAAACTTGTGAGAAAGGAAGTCCCACAACTTCCCTGGTTTGCAGGGAGGTTGTGGAAGCACTGTCCCTGGAAGTGTTCAAGGCCAGGTTGGATTGAGCTCTGAGCAACCTGGTCTAGTGGGAGGTGCCCCTGCCCATGCAGAGTGGTTGGAATTGGGTGATCTTTAAGGTCCCTTTCAACCCAAACCAGTCTGTGATTCAGTGAGAGCTCAGACATGCTGTACCAGATGGGTGTAGCTGGCATCTCATTTCCATTTTTGCCTTTCACTAACAGCTGTCTCTTTCTGGGACCCCTGTGGAGGTTGGTGAAGTTAATCTTTAACATGGCATGCAGGCTCCTGCTGTTTGCTCATGTTTAAAGTGTTCTGTAGCTTGAACACGTTTTATCTTATCTAATATGCAGATAGTTCACAGGAGGTTGGTAGCACTGAGCAAAATCTGGGTGGCAAAATTCACCTGAAACAGGAATTCACGTGCCAGCTTCCTATTTCAGGTGTTCCTTCTGTGTGTATTTAATCATGAAAAGGATTGATTCAGGTGAATCTAGCAAAATATCCATGCATTCTTAAAAACTGTGAGCCCTCAGGTTGCTAATATTTCTGGAGCAATTTTTCTTTATCCAAGTAGACTGTTTATGCTACAGCCACCAAGTAGTAAAAGAGCTCTCAGCATCCTTTTTCATCTCTTATATTTCTGAAGCATTGTACCAAAAATCTAGTATGAGCTTTGCTATACTCGTATCTCTCTTTGAGAAAGCAGGAGTTGATTTCAATCCAAATTTCCCAGCTTTTTGGCTCTCTGGAATGGGTGTCTTACAGCTCCCCCCCCTCTCTGTTTTCAGCCAAGTGTCTATTTATGAGATAGACAAACGAGATTGTCGTAAATTCTGCACCACTGGCATTGATGGAGCAATGACCATCTGGGATTTCAAGGTATGCTTCTCCTACCAAGTTGATGTGAACTGGGTGGGTGGTGGTTGGGCTCTGCTATCAGCTGCTGGGGCTCAGCCCTCATGCAGGGTTTTTTTAGCAATAGGAAATCCAGACTGGAATGTTCAAGACTGTTAGTGAACTCTGTAAAGAAGACACATCCAAGATTCAGCATAAATGCAGACAGATTTTGTTTAGCAGATGGTACTAATCCAGACTTAATTTTTTAATGCAATTGCTTCGTATCCATATAGGAATCCTACTGATTCTTTGCTTTTCCAACCTCAACCTCAGCCACAATCAGGCTGGAAATATCATTGGTATGACAAGCCCTGCTGCCTTTTCTTGCTCCCATCCCTTTGGACTCTGCTCACTGCCTTTCTGCAAAACATGCCCTCTCATAATTAACTTACCAAAGGAGTAAGAAGTTACCTCAAACAGTTAGAAAACACAGGGAGCACTGGATTGAAATTCCTACAAGGATTTAATAACACAAGTGCTTGATTTCCTGAGGACTGGCCAGGAGAGCTCTCTGCTGGCCTCCCCAGGCTGCTGGGAACTGTGCAGTCTCTCTTTGGGAAAAAGAAGTTTGTCTTTATTCTGTATAGCTCTGGTGAGGACAGGAGGCAAATAAGAAATAGAAGTGATTTGTAAGCTTTAATGCACTTTCAGGGAAGGGGGATAGACTCATTGATCTATATATACATGGGTTAGAAATTAATTTTTGCAATGGTCTCTGCCTCTTGAATATGAGCCTAATCTCAGGTATTCAGAGTTTTTACTCTTTTTTTGTCTTAACATCACCATTTATAGTGAAATATTTTACAGAGGATCCTGTATCAGGTTGTAATTAAGATTTTTCTCTCTTTCAAGACCCTAGAGTCCTCTATTCAAGGTCTACGAATCATGTAAAGATGGATTTCTGGGATCTAGCAGGACAAACTGCTTGACAGAATGCAGCTCCCACATCTGCACAGACCCCAAAAGGGAGGGAGAAGGTGGAATATTTGGAAACACTGAGAAAATACAGCTTGGCAGATTTTCTTTTGAATCTAAATTTGGTGAATTGTGTTGGTTTCAAAACCAGCTGTGATTGTTTTGGTTTTTTTATTATTATTATGGTTTTTTTTGGTTGGTTGTTTCATTCCATTCTTTACCAAAGCTGCTCCTTAAGTAGTTTATTGCAGGAAGTCATGAATCACTAACTTAAAAGGGGAATTTTATGTAAATTGTCTGCTAGAAATAATAATAATAATTAAAAAAAAAAAAAGAAAAACCAATTATTTGCTTTGGTGCTCATTAACAGTGATTTTAAAAAGGGATTTAAGGGAATTAACTTTGAGAGAGAGGGTGTGAAAACCCAGCACTGGTATTTTATGGCCTTAAAACAGAAAGAGAGGAAGAGTTCATCTTAACTGAAAGTTTCTTGAAGTTGGCAAATAAAGACCTGGAATCCTGAAGATCTGGATGTGAAGAGCTGAGCTTCTTTCAGGGGAATTATTCCCTTGAGGTGATGATTTTTGAGGAACTGCTGGGTCCTCGTTCTGTCTGCCTTGCTTTTGATCCAGCAATAACAGCAAATTAACTAAAATGTCATTATTATTATTATTATTATTATTATTATTATTATTATTATTATTATTATTATTGTCCCTTGAGTGGGTCATAGTTTTCCAGCAGGGAACAACCAGAATTCTCTGTAGTTACCTTTTAGGATTAGTACAAAGACTTCTCACAGTGCAGTGCTTGGGGCACAGGGTGGAAGGGCTGGGATGTAGAAAACCAGGCAAAAATCTGTTGAGCCAGATCTTAGGAGGACAAATTGAAAGCAAATCACTTTGGAAGGCTCTGAAGCTGCACAGGCCTGCCTGTCATGTTAGAGCTGAGTGCTCAGCCCATAAAATCCTGTGTTTATAATGACTGGTGGAGAAATGAAGCACACTTGACAGAGGTGTCAGTGTGGGTTGGCTTCTGTGCAGAGCCTTTGTCACCAGGTGACTATCTTTTGAAGTTCAGTTGTGGCCCCAGTAGCTCACTGAGGCATTTGTACCTCATTTATTTTATTCACATGGTCTAGTTCAGATTAACTGTGTTGCTGCCTTGGGGCAGGCTGTGCTCTGGTGGGGATTATCTGGCTCACAGCCTTGCTTTGCAAGGTTAAAACTTGGTAATTTCTGTTGAAAATGCGGAAGTGTCTTAAAAAAAACCACCCAGTGACTAAATTTACCACTTCCTCTGGAACCAGAGTTTCTTCATACCCTGCTTGTTTCACAGCTTTGAGTGAAAAGGAGGGTGGAAGATAAGCCCACAAAGCTGACAACTGCTGCTCTTCTGCTGCAAGTCAACTGTGTCCATTGCAGAGCTGGGTCATCTTCAGGTGCAAGGTTGGTTTCATGCAGAGAATTGACAGTTTTTCCACTTCTTTCAAGTTTTCTTGTGTCTCCCACCTTCCTCCCCTGCCAGTCAAGCATAGCTTTGCAATTTCCTCTTCCTTATAAACAGAAAATAATGATTAACCTCTACCCATCTAGCACTCAAGTGGCCTGTTGTGCATAAGGACTTGTGGTGGGCTGATCACCTGGGATACAATGCTCAGGGCACTGAGTGTCTTCTGGATCAAGGTGACCCCACCAGCCTTGGCAGAACAAAATTGTTTCTTTCCAAAAAGCATTAAAAAGTTGTTATTCTAAAATATATGCCCCAAAGAATATAAAAGGGTCGGGAAAAAATTACCTCATGAGAGAATGGAGGAAAGGAATCTCTGAATTTTGACACCGTGTTCTTTTTCTGTGTGGAAGAGCTGGAGAAGGTAAAAGCTGAGAAACTGAGGTCTGAGGAAACTGCTGTAGGTTCCTGTCTGAGAGAAATAGCATGTGCTAGAAGTCCAAGATTAAAACCAGATTGGAGATATTTACATTAGAAAAGGACTGAGCAAGGGGAATATAAACAAACTGTCACTCGAGCCATAATTCAAGTGAAAACAGCCCCGTGTGCAGGGCCAGGAGGGCTCTGCACCTTGTGGGAGATGGTGGCTCTCTGGGTGTCCAGGCCCTTGCTCTGCTCCCTGAGGACATTCTGCTGCCTTCCCACCTCAGGTGTCTGAGCCACAGGGAGGGCAGGTGTTTGTTTTACCTCTAGATTTCCTCTGTTGCCTCCCCTGTCTGTAACACCATCTTTTGTGTCCAACTGGGTGAGGATTTGCTGGCATCTTTAGCTGACCCCAGCACCAGGCTCCTCAGCCTGTGCACCTGATGAGAGCAACTTTGAAAGCAAATGCTTACGGTTGCAGCCTTAATGAGAGGAGAGCTGCTGGCTGCATGTGCTTGATGTTCCACAGGGTGTTGGGGTGAAGAAATGGGGCTCTATATGTGAGCAGGGATGGCAGGGACTGTTCTCAGGAACCTGCCTGAAAAAATCCCTGGGCTCTAAATGAAAAGAAGTTGCAGAATCAGTGCTGCTTTTCACCCCCTCTGCCCCACCTCCAAAAAAAAACCCAGCAAAAAAAAATGTTCTGGTGTCCTGAACACCTGTGCAGTGGGATATTTCCTCCAGAACCTTCCTGCAGAGGCCCCAGGCATTACAAGACAAGCTGCTGTGAGCACAGGAGGATCTTTCCACTTAAGAAAACAGAAGCAAAAGCAGGTAAAGGACTTAGTCAAACCTCAAGTTGGATCTGGCAAGCAGGGCTGAGCCTTCATTCCTGACCTCCACAGCACTGGTTTTTTCCTCCATGGGCTGTTGAGGCCAAGAGAAACCCAAGCAGTGTTCAAAACCAGTGCAGCCTCAGTGGATGCAGCTCACTGCTTCCAAGGGGGACTTTTCCCACTCTAGGGATTCACTTCTGACCAGAGATGCAGAGACCCACCAGCCTGCAGGGACATCTCAGGATCTCCACATCTGCTGGGATGGTGGCAACAGGCATAAGGGGAAGCAGGGCAAAGGGAGGGATGTGCTGCCTGCTCAGTGCCACCTGCAGAGCCTTTATTAACAGCTCACCCCTCACTTGGGGCATTAATTCTGCAGCTGGAGGTTTTTAGATCTGCATCCAGCAGCTGAGAAGCCCTGTGAGGCCCCTGCCCTCCCTGTACCAGACCCCCCATGTGCTGCTCTTCCACTTCTGTGAGGTGATGGAGAGAGAAGAGGTGAGTGCATCCCTCCAGGCAGGACTCCACAGCCAGCCTGCAGTAAGGGAGTGAGGAGCTGAAGCCCATCTCTCCTTCCCAGCACTATCAGCAGGATCTGAGCTCCTGGGAGTTAACCTGCCTGGCTAGGAACGGGATAAAAATTGGTTCCTCATGTCTGTAAGTGGGGTTACACGTGGTGTGTTGGGGAGCAGAGTGTGGGTCCGGGCAGCCTGGGCTTGGATCCTGCTGGGCTCAGTGGGGGGCAGGAACCAGCAGCAGCTGCTGCTCAGGATGGCCAGATCCCGGCTCCACGGGGTGAGCTCCAAGCTGTGCCTCTCCCGGGCTGTGGGAGGCGATGCCGACACGTCTCGCCCCGGGTGGGCTTCACCTGCTGCGGAGCAGCCGGCAGGGCCCCCTGCCACGTCTGTGCTTCCCAAACACATCGGGGACTGGGGAACCAAGCAACCCTCTCCCTGCTGGAGGGGTTGGACGGGGCTCTTTCTCCTCCACTCTCCTGGCCACGTCCTTCCTTGGAGCATCCCGGGGCGAGCTGCCCCGCATCCCACGGGAGCATCCCGGGGCGAGCTGCCCCGCATCCCACGGGAGCATCCCGGGGTGCCCCGTCCCCGTGGGGCGATGGCGGAGCGGCCTGGCAGGCAGGGCAGGGCAGGGCAGGGAACCGAGCTGCTCCGCGCTCCCCCAACGCCCACGTAAGGAAGTGGTTGCATTTCTCGGAGAGGAAAAGGGAAGTGGGGCTGCCTGTGCGGGGCAGGCAGCAGCTCCCCCCG